ACAATGTTTGCTTAGTGAATATAAATATTTTATGAGAATATATGTAAGAAATAAATTGATATGTATTATGATAAAACAATTCTTATAATACACCTCATGATTTTAATCAAATTTTTCACATATTTTTTTTTATGATTTTAGACCAATTACAAAATTTGATATGATAAAAGATTGATAATATAAAACTTATTAATTATACACACACACATATATATATATATATATATATATATGTTAAAAAAACCAATAATAATAAGGTGGATTCATATATCAAAGATAATATTGATTTTTATTAATTTAATATATAAATATGATTATCAACTCATTTAACCAACTTCAATAATTAAAAAAATATTATCGCACAACGGATGTCAAAAACTAGTTTTAATAAAAACAATTTATCAATGAGTTGGGTTATCATCCTGATTGCCAACCATAATAAGCTTACATAATTGGGTCACTTGGCATCACCTATAAGAAACAAAACTCCGGTCAAACCTAATCAATGATTTTAGTCTAAACTTACATATATACCCTTTTATTTTCTTTTTATGTTTCATTTTTATACATTTATATATTCACACAAAATTATCTTAGATTTTAAAAACATAATATCATGAAATCAGATTTGGGATAATTCAAGAACAATAATCTAGATTTCAGACAAAATCCAAGATCACAAACACAAAATTCCTTGTTTGTTTATATATCTTAAGAGACAAAAATCCGACATATCGTAACAGTATGTACCAAGATCGTCACACTGCAATCATCAAATCTAAATCTTATATAGCCATAGATGGTTAAGTCGGCTATTTTTGCGGGAGTCGTGTTTGTTCCCAACAGATGCGACTGTTCGGATGGAAAACCATTATAGCTAAGTCTAATTTCGGCTTGTCTCACATTAATCCTGATCATACTAAATGACTTGATCACACTAAAATCATCAACAAATTACATATTTAAAATAAAAAATACGTAACTAAAACATAAATATTCAAATTAATTATTGTATAAAAAGTTATATAATTTTATGATAATTGTTAAAAATAAAATAAATAACAATAATAACGTTTTGAACATGTCGATAAAGACTTTAAATGATGTCAAATTTTGAAATAAATATGAGTTATATATTTATAATAATGGAATTTATATTTAAATATGAGTTATATATTTATAAAAATGGAATATTAAATATAAAGGTATAAAGGTTAGGTGGCTTACCAACCGTCTATATAAAGGGATGCTGGAACCAGTGAATGAAGACACACAACAATGGCTACTTTTGCCACTCCTACCACCTTCACCGGCCTCCCGGCCACCACCACTAAAAAACTGCCAAATTCGCCTTTCTTTTCCACCTCCCRCACACGTTCAAAACAAACCCATCGCACCTTCAAAGTCTCATGCAACGTCGCCGATGAGAACGAGAAGCGACTCGAAGCCGAAAAGCCTACTCTTCTTGAAGGCCTTAATCTGGACCGGAGGAACTTGCTACTAGGGCTCGGCGCCGGTGGCCTTTACATACCGGCGGCCTTTGCKGCTCCTATCACGACGCCTGACATCTCGACGTGCAAGGCCTCAGTCGAGGGTTTCTTTAACCTAAAAGAYCGCATAAGAACCAATGCATGTTGTCCTCCGCTGCCGCTGCCGGGAATAAAATCCGTGAAAAAGCATGTGTTACCTAGAAATGAAGTGGTCCGGCTAAGACCAGCGGCACATAGAGTCACTCCCGAGTACCTGGACAAGTACCAGAGAGCCATGGCAGCCATGAGGGCTCTCCCAGACGAAGACCCACACAGCTTCGTGCAACAAGCTAAAATTCATTGCGCTTACTGCAATGGTGGTTACTTTCAGGAAGGTTACCCTGATAAGGAACTGCAGGTTCACAACTGCTGGCTCTTCTTTCCATTCCATCGTTGGTACCTGTATTTCTTCGAGAGAATACTCGGAAAGTTGATTAATGATCCAACTTTTGGCTTACCCTACTGGAACTGGGACAATCCCAGTGGCATGAGTATGCCGGGATTCTTTGAAGGGAAAACTCTGCCCAGCAACGATCCAGCAATAACTCCACCACTGAACCCTGCCTTTGACGCTTTTCGGAACGTGGATCATCTCCCACCAGCCATCCTCGACATCGACTACAGTAACACTGCCAGTGCCGATTTTACTTGCGTACAACAGATAGGCTCAAACCTGAGTTTAATGTATAAGCAGATGATCGCCAACTCCCCTAACTCAGAAACCTTCTTTGGTGGGAAGTTCATAGCTGGAGATGCTCCTATTTCTATAAAGAATTCTAAAGGGCCAATAGAGTCCGGTGTTCACACGGCGGCGCACATATGGGTTGGTAACCCCAGAATGCCAAATAATGAGGACATGGGGAACTTCTACTCATCAGGATGGGACCCTCTTTTCTACACCCATCATGCCAATGTCGACCGTATGTGGAAAATATGGAAGGACTTGAAGGGACCCGATTACCCTGACCACACCGAACCTACAGACCCTGATTGGCTGAACGCATCATACGTGTTTTACGACGAGAACAAAGAGCTTGTACGTGTCTACAATAAAGACTGTGTGCAGATGGAGAATCTACTTTACGAATATGAACCTTCCCCACTCCCCTGGCTTAGGAGCCGACCAGTTGGACGTAACAAGAATTCAAATGTTGCAGCCAAGTCCTCTGGAAAGGTGAAAAAAGTGGAGGAGACCAAGTTCCCGCTGAAACTAGACGGTATAGTCAAGGTCTTGGTGAAGAGGCCAACCACAAACAGAACCAAAGAGGATAAGAAGAAAGCCTATGAGCTATTGTACGTTAATGATATCAAGTTCGATGGCGAGAAGTTTGTCAAGTTTGATGTGTTTGTAAATGACCTAGACGACGGTACCCCATGCAGTCCACAGGACAGTGAGTTTGCAGGTAGTTTCTCGCAGGTGGCACATTTGCGTGGGCACAAAATGTTGATGACGAGTGGGGTAAAGTTCGGGTTGAATGAGCTGTTGGACGACATAGAAGCCGAGGCTGATGAATACATTTTGTTGACACTGGTACCAAGGGAGGGGTGCCAGGAAGTCACCATTGGAGAGATCAAGATTGCGTTGGTTCCATCAAGTGCAAATTGAGGATGATCGATCGGTGCCAACCGACATTATCTAATCGTATATCTATGTTTGTCTGTCTGCATTTCCTTTCAATAATCGTAGACCCTGCATTGCATTGTACGGTTACAACTTGTTGTTTCAGTAATAATAATGAGTTCATTGTCTGTTTGTATCCTTTTTCCAATATGAATTTGTTATCATTTTTCAACGAAGGTTTTTAACATTTATTTGTATACCTTCTGAAATACGATGATGTGAAGAATATTTGTGTTGATTATTGGTGCAAACTGTAGTACTTCCATAATTCCTACATATAAATAGCAAACAAACAAAATTAGGTGCATTCAACCTAATAATAAATGCTAACTTATTGATGGGTAAAATAATCATCAAGTCTTCTCCCAAGCAACAAATTAACATATTTTTCTTTTTAAACATGAAGTAGTACTACCGTGTGTGAATTTTCTTTATAATGGCGAGGTTACGCGTACCGGTTAATTGTCTGAGCGTTCATGAATGGTCTGGAATAATCACAGGTGAACCTTCATAGACATAAAGGTTTTTAACGACTTTTAGATTTAAACCTAGAATATAGATGAGATTTTTCACTACATTCCCAGAAGTTTAACCGGAGAATGTGACACAACCTAAGTGGTTTTGTTTATGAATTTTAGGGGATACTATAAGTGCCTATAACTCTTATTTTCAATTTTATATTTGTGTTATAGTATACTAGAAGAGTACTTGCATAATGCAGCGATATACATCTTGATTTTAATATTTTATTTTATTTTTTTTACCCCAATCAAATTAACTATTTAAAATTCTTATTTTTTGTGTAATTTTTTAATTCAATTTTTTTATTATAATTTAATTTAGGTTCAATAACGAAGTAATT